CTCTCTCTCTCTCTCTCTCTCTCTCTCTCTCTCTCTCTCTCTCTCTAGCTTCAGTTCACTTGCTGCTTTCCATCAGTCGTTCACCTGCTGGCCTCACTCTCAGCTCTTCAGAGTGTCGCACACTCTCAGTGAGCATCCTCTCCACCACTGATTCTCCTCCCTCTCGCTCTCTCTCGCTCTCTCTCTCTCTCTCTCTCTCTCTCTCTCTCTCTCTCCTCCCACTCAGCCTCTCACACACACATATGCCCTCTGTAGTTGTCACTTCCTCTCATCTCCACCGTCTCCGCTCTCAAGCTCAACCATGCATGATGTGGTGCTACTTGCCCGAAATCCAGTACTCTGAGCCGCGCAACACCACATTCAAATTCATGCTCATTATAATATGACGTGAACAAGGCGATTATGTCCAACATTTAGCTCCCGAAGGTGAGCAAGCGTTGCAGCCTCCTTGCTGCTCATTGTGCAGGATGAGTAAGAGTTTGTGCAAATGTTTTTAATTACTCTAATAAGTCTCATTCAATCCCCAGTGAACATGTGCGTTTCCCCCATAAGCTACCATTCACAGTTCCCAGTAGACCTGTGACTAATGTCACCAATACCGCCTTTTCCTGCTAAATCCCTGCAAAACAATATTCTATGAGTGTCGACCCATCTGTCGAGCTTCTTAATGAAAAAGCATGCACCTATAAGACTAAAGTATGTGTGTTTATTTGTGTGTGTGTGTGTGTGTGTTCTGTATGTGTCAGACATGAAGAGATAACAAGGGATTAGAGCACAGTCCTCATGTGCACCATTAGGAGCTGCATTGTGATAAACAAAACAAATAATCCTCTCACTGTCCAAAGCTTACTGGTAAAAAGAAGAAAAAAATCTATTATATCATTGGACAAAACTTTAATATTGAGCAGATTAGCAGTGATTTAGAGACGTCCCGCTTTGGTGGCACAATAATCTCTCTCTATCTCTCTTTTAAACCCTTGAGCAAAGACTGCAGATGTTATATACGAGGGTCATTTTTTTCCCGGGGGAAAAGATCAGGACCAAGAGTTTTGGGGTTTCAAAAAAGAAATTGTTGTCTGCGACGGCTTTCGTCCATAGTGCTTATAGATAAAAACACATTATCGGATAAGAGCAGGCAGACTGTTGTTTAGACGCGGATCATTGCAGCTGGCCCCTGTTAAGGTTTGGACTGGCGGTCTGAGAAAGGACTCAACACTCCTGTACGCCGACGAGATAATAAATAAAAGAACAACAACAACAAGAAAAGCCATGTGGAGCTTTATTTCTTATCTCCAGTGAACAAAGATAGCTGGTTTTAAATTGGGAGTATCCATCCAGCTCCAATGTCCTTTGCAGAATCCCAGAGTAAATTCCGTTTCGATCGGCACCCGCCGCTGCAAGGGATTCCCATCCCATTAGCCTGGTGAAATGGCCTGTGGTCACTCCCCTTTTCCTGCCCCTAATCCTTATCCTCTGAGAATCCGCCTCTCTCACTTTCAGCTTTTTAGCAGCTATTTCTCAACCAAGACCAGTTAGACAAGAATACAAGACGCAATATGTGTCTTACTGTAACCTCACAGGATTAGGAAGAGCCAAATCAAGAGTCAGCAACTGTGCGTTCATTGTCCATCATGTGTCATTACAATAAAAATTCATACAAGTTGAGCTGAATCAAAATAAACCCAGCGAGCAGTTAAGAGTGTAATCTGTATGATGTGTGTGTGTGTGTGTGTGTGTGTGTATGGGAGGGTGTGTGTGACCTCTGACATGCTGCTGGTGTATAATGTGTCAGTGATTGGAGACTTACTGCCCTTTGGGGTCACTGGCTGGTCCAGCACGCAAGATGGCTGCTGTTCTGACATATGAATGAATGGTTATTTATGTGAACCATTGGGTTTCTCCCACAGGTTGAGATTTAATTAGGGGGGGGGTTGACCTCATGGGGGGAGAGGGGATGGAAATGTGAGCCACAAGAGTCGGCTAAAAAACTGCACTGAATTCATGAGCTATCCAATGACTGTACATGAATGCATCATTCCAGCAGAGTTTACTGCTCACTTTCTACTTAGTTTCCGCACCGATAAATTATTATATTCATCATCAGAATGAAAGAAAAATGTTAATTTTCTTTTTTGTGTCAAATCTCACAGACATTTGCATTGTTTATCATGATAATGTTCCATGGTAAATCACTTGCACCATCTAGATATTAATACGAATATGTAAATATTTCGAGTCACTGTAATTGTCTGTGACTAAAGACAGAAGTCAATCAAAGACTCTCACTGTTCCTGCAGCAACATGTTGGATGTAGGAGGTCTGAGGATTCTCCTGCTGTGCCTAGATTTGTTAAAACACGCCTCCAGTCGCTCTTAAACAAATTCACTGTGATAATCAAGCCCATAGTTTGTTTGCAAGGCAAAGTAGGAATGCCAACTGCGTCCTAACTTTTGAAGAAACTTTACATCCCCACCATGATTTCTCTGCAGTGCGCGTGAACCCCACTGTGACTATGATTGTGACTGGTTTGATAATCATGAAGCGTTATTGTTAAATGTCATGTTTTGAACTGGGTAATTGGGCTACAACATTAGGGGGGCAGTAAGGCAGATATGAAAGGTAAGCATATTGCTAATGACATTAATTCTCTCCTGTTTAAACAGTTGGGTAAGTAGTAACGTCTGAGGCACAAAGTAAACAGTAAATAATGATAACATAATAAATGTAAAATAAGACTTAGGATCTATACAGTCATGCTAGCAGCTCTGTGAAGCTGTGCCATAACACTAACTTGCTGACGTTTAGTAGGTTTTATGTTTAGCACGTTCGCCCTCGTAGTTTTGAAGTATTGATCAAATTACATTTTGTTCTGAAGGTGTCGTTAGATGAAAAGTTATGGGATGGCCACGGTTACTTATTCATCCTGACAGCGACATGAAAGTCTGTGGCTAATTTCGTGGCAATTCGTGTGGAGACATTTCATGACAGAAACAAAAAATCTCAACATGCTGGTGGCACATGGGAAAAGATGAGCAGGATACGTCTCATGTCTGAACACATTTTAATGGTAATCGATGGAGAAGCTTAGATATGGCAGTCTGGAGGAAAGTGGTGAACTGATCACCTGACATTGCCATATCTAGAGCCACGGCTTAATATCATTTCAATTCTGGGAATATTTCTCATAGTCTCTGAGTAATATGACCCTAATATCTCGCCTCCTCGTCAGCATCCACCACTGAACCAGAGGTTTGACCTCAATTCATTTATAAGCACTGCTGACAATCCCCAAACACAAATCATTTATCAAGCGAGTTGTTTATAATGTGTGTGAAAATGTATCTCAGAGGTCAGACATCAACAGATTCAGCTGTGCCGCTCGGTGATCTTGTTTCCCCCGTGTCATCATATATTACGGGGATGACACTGAAGAGTTCAGATATAAGTAACCAACCCCGTGTTGGATTTCTTTTTTTTTATTTGCGATGAAGGAGCAACACCTGCTGCCTCGCCTATACCATCAGTCCTCCAACAGCCAGAGACAGGAGAAGCCCATGTGCAACGAATTACCACACAAATAGACCCTGGAATTGCCCTGTTTTCAGGGTCATCCCTCCCAACCACCGTCAAAATGACCTGAAGCACTCAAACAAATAGGAGGAGGATTCTCTCTGGTGTGAAACCATTTCTCTGAGCCGTGCTTATATGAGTTACTTGTCTCTTGTGTGTGTGTGTGTGTGTGTGTGTGGGGCTTCACTATGAGTCCCAAAGGCAATCTTTCCAGATGAAATGATCTGATTCCCACTCAAAAAAAGGTTTTATTTTGGTGGAAGTTCAGCTACATGAATATACTGTATGTAATATATAACGTAACATTTTATATGATCTTCTAAGTCCGATTTATTTAGGTATCTTATTCTGTGTGTGAGAGAGGGAAGCAATAAAAAAGCTACTCCAGGACTTTCCCCAATCTGTTTTGGAAAATGCAAAACCTTCTAGGCCTTTTTGTCTGATAGCGAACGGTCACCGCTGCTACAATCAGACAAAAGCAAATATTGGACAAATTTCGAAAAGCAGATAAGTCTGAGAAGCTGTTTTTTCCCCAGGGAACTGAACCTCTAAAAGTCCTTTTATACAAACAGATAGATATGAAAATCCTTTTCAGTAGTTCTTATCAAGACATTATAATACACCGACTGTTTTGACTTGAAGGTACTTGGGCACATTTTTAAAAATGTACCACTGTATTTATGTGAAGAATAGAAAAATAGTCAAACACAATGACTGTACAATCAAATGCTTTATGCATTGAATGATGAATATTAAAATATC